CTCTCTCTCTCTGTAGTAGTCCGCTGATACTGAGAAGTCAGGTGGTGAGAGGGGAAGAAGAGATGGTGGACTTAGAAGAGGAAGAAGAAGAAAACTCTCTCTCTCTCTCTCTCTCAGTCCGGTACTAACCTGTGAAGTTGGTGCCTTGATGCAGGTACCTCAAAGATGGAGCTGGAGCTATGGCGCCACAGGTAAGTCTCACTGGCCTCCGCCAGCCATCTCTCCCAACGCTACTACTACCACCTACTAGTGCCCAGCGCTGAAGACTACTGCTAGCGCTAAGCTACTCCTGCAGCGCTCCTCCTGAGTGCTGCGGCCGAATCCTGAAGACCACTCCTGCCTTCTGTCCAACTACCTACCTGTGAAGTGCATGGGAATTCCCTATGTACTACTCGGCCTGCCTCCTGACTGCAGGGCGAGGCAGTCCAGGAGGCTGCTCTTGCCAATGCCGAAGGGAGTCAGGGGCTGCTGCTGCAGCTCCTGCTTGAGGCTGTCGTGGGAACAGGCTAAAGATAGCTTGTTCTCGAAACCCTGGTTTTGTGCCTGAGTGTTAGGGCAGGTCGATCTTATGAGGGCCCGAAAGTGGCCCTCTGTTTCAGGATGAAGAGACTCAGGGCTGAAAAGCCCTGTTTTAGGCTGAAAACGAAATAGGGCCTGCAGGCCCTCGTTTTCAGTTTTCAGGCTGAAACGACATGGGGCCTGTAAGCCCTTATTTCTAGGCTTTTAGGCTGAGAATGCGGGACGGGCCCTGCAGGCCCGTGTGGCTACGCAGTATGGCACAGTGGGGTTATCAGGGTCTGATGAGGGTGACGAGATACGTACCTTGTCCATGAGGAGAGGTCGGCTATGGTGTTGACATCATATATATTGGTCTTCGGGAGTTGAAATGAGCCTGTTGCGTGAACACAGCTGTAGGTAGGATAGTCGAGTAGAGTAGGCTAGGCGCTGGGCGCAAGACAGAGAGGAGCGACTTTGGATACTGTGTTGGTGTGGCCTGAGGGCTTGAACATTGGCTCATTACTTCATTCTATTGTTCTATTAGGATGGATTCTCGGTGCAATTGTGCTCTCTGCTTGTACACGACTACTTGGACATCTGTGTGATTTCACAACTTGTTTTTTTCGTATATCGTTCACTTTCATAT